GCTGATGGTGGTCTATAATTTCTCATTCTATCCATCTCTTGTCATGCTTCATTATTGGAAGAAACCTTTCCAGTGAGTTTCGAGCAGTCCAGTTCTTCAATTATTATTCCACGTAATGATTTCACACGACTTAAGGCGACATATGCTTGACCTGCTGCGAAGAGTATAACATTAATGGATTATTAATTGTCGCTTGCGTTGTGTTGTAGTTTCTTTTCGCATTCTCCGTTTGTGAAGCAAGGGACATTTTAAAGAGTTATATTTTAAACATATATTATTATCACGTTAACATAGAAATATGGGGAGAATTTTCGCTACATAATGGGACATTACATCTGCTTCATCCAGCTTTATAAAACTACAATTCTTCAATTCCATACACTTTAAAAATCTTTAGAACTCTGTCTTACTGTTGCCACTGTTTTCGTAAAATATTACAATCCTATTTATTACAGTCATGTATTATTATTTAAGTTGTTCTAAAATTCATTTTTTCCAGCACGTGAGAATTCCTAATAATTATTTGAAAGACTTGTCTACATATAATAAAAGGGAAAGTCTGTGTGTCTTCCGTTCGTGCTGCGCCTAAGCTAATAGACCCATGGCTACGAAATTTGGCATATAGGTGCATCTAGACAAGAGCCAGTGCGCCTCAAAGCCAGTTTTTCCAAATTCGAATCAGATTTTTTTTATTTCATCTTTTCGATTTTATCGCATCATTTTGAATAGTTTCATTCTTTTAGAAATGGGGTTTTGGCAACAGTTTTTCATTCAATTCTATACTGGACTGCTGACTGTTGAAAGTGTTGTCACTTGGAAAAATGAGGGCGATTATTAGGATAATTAATATTTGCATTAAAGGATACTGCTTATTTCATTGTAAATTTGTTATATGTAATACATTTTTTTAAAATTTGTGGGTTTTTTTATGAAATTATTCTGCAGAGTAAAATCTGCGTAGTTTTTAAATTTAACGTTTGGTGTTCCTTCAGGCATTTTTGCGGCACGTTTTAAAGCCAGACGAAGGCTGGCCGCGTAACTACTAGTATTTAATAAAAACAGCATATCTTTAGTTCCGATAAACAGGAATAACAAAGTAGGAATTGACTTTAATATGTGAAAAAAACTATATTAACATCAAGTGTCATCCACTACATGTTTATAAAAATGTATTTGAACTTGAGTGGATGAATAAAAAGTATTTTATTAACGACTGAAAATTTGAACAAGATATAGGGAGAATGTGAGCTAATAGTAGGGATTTAATAATAAGTATTAGTTTCCCAAAGAAAATCCTCCAAGAAAGTATCCCTCCTCATAGACATATACTCCTTAGCATGTACCTTTTCAGCATTTCGGATCAAACCAACAAAATTCACTATATCGCCAGGAATAATTTTTGAAATTTTAACAATGGCTTCACGTATCAGATGAAAGGAATGGTATCTTCCGTGATAATACCGTAAAGGTCATTTGTATTCATAAAAAATAAATAATTTTCTCTTCGATTAAGATTAGTACGATGTTGTAAAATGTGATATCGTAGCAGAATATTATAAGGTACTTCTTCCGCTTTCCTAGGAAGCCTTCGTGGTGTAGTGGTTCTGCACATTGGGCCGGTATTCCAAAGGTCCGTGGTTCGATTCCCGGCGAAGGCAGTTGCATATTTTTCATCTTTTCTGCTTCCAATTAACCTAATGTCCCTACATTGGCGCCCGAACTTGAAAGGGTGTTGGATGGGGTTTCTCCACACCCAGGATGTGGCGATTGGGTCCCTAAAAATCCCAGTCGCCCTTTAAAAAGGGGAGTATATAAGGTACTTCTCCCGCTTTCCTAGAAAGCCTTTGTGGTGTAGTGGTTCTGTACATTGCGCCGGTATTCCATAGGTCCGTGGTTCGATTCCCGGCGAAGGCGAGTGCTAATGCATAAGAATTTGTAAATAGCAGAAAATTAAGTGAACTAAGGAAAAGAAGGCGAAAATATCTGAAAAGAACACTAACTATAGGAGAAATGAAAACACACATACATATATGTAACAAGTATTCTAATCAGCTTCAGAGTGAAAGACAGGAAAATCCTCCGTGTATGGTTTTATTTTAATATTGACTTCAGCGATTACAAGTAAATTTCCAATTTATAAGTTTTATTAGCACTTGCAAAATCCCTTCAGTAGGAAACAAGATTTACGCAGTTGATAGGAAATATAAAAGCGAAATAAGCTTCACTACTTGCTGTAAAATAAGTACTTGCTGTAAATACTTCACTACTTGCTGTAAACAGTGCTACACAATAAAGAGAAATTTAATGTTTTGGGTGTAGAACAACCTGTTTACGACTTAGATCTGGATCAGCATGGAAGAAATTTTATTACTTGATCCCAGATAAACAAGAATTAATTTTCGGACAAGAGATTTCTTAGTCACCAATATATAGTTTTACGTTTTCTGCGGGATTTAACACTCACATAGTAAAACGTTTACTGATATAAAATAACAGCTTACTCGAAGCCTAGCTGAGGAGCTATCACAGTAATTGTGAACAGTATCTCTAATATGAGAAAGTAAATAATGTAGTTTAATTCGATAATAGCTCCAAAGGTGAAAATTTATAAGCATGAGATTATAGTTTATCATGATGATTGTAATTTATCATGAAATTATAATTTATCATGATGATTGTAATTTATCATGAAATTATAATTTATGACGGTAAGTGCAGAAGGTTTTAAATTTTTATCCTTACTATATATCAACTACAATTATTCTCCAAACAATAATTCTCTATATATAGGGTTGATAGACAAATTTACAGAAAAAATAACTCAAGCAAGTATAATTAACTTTTACTTTAAACAGTAAAAGTCCAATTTGCGCAAATCATAGCAACTACTGTATTAATTATAACGTATACTTTAGAAGAGGAAAAAAAGGGAGGTTTAAAGATAATAAATGCATAAAAATTATAAAATGCATGAAGGAAAGTTGAAATTATCACAAAACAAGTGATTGATTAATTTCTCATTTATTGTTTTTCTCTATGTAATAGTATAATCCAATATATAGTAGATGATATCACATTTTGCCATTTCGTTTTTGTTACGGACGATCTCAAAAAAAGAAAAAATAAACAGAAATTTTCAGACCTTTTTCTCTTTCAGAACCTTATACAGAGACAGCTCTGAATCCAAAAACTGAATATCGTCAATTTTGGTGACTTTTTGACACAACAGGACGTTTAGATTTTAAATTCAGATTATTATAAAGAAAAAAAGTGCAATTAATCATTCTTAAGATGATGGCACCGTACTATTTTGACGTTTTGTGAAGTTAGTGGCCTTTGAGAGCATGGCGATCAATGACATTCAATACCGAAGTTTATTGACGCTGCTGACTGTTAAAATTGCTATACCATGAAGGCTTTCTGCAACAAATGTCAAATTTGCAGGAAAGGTACTACATGCTGCGATTACAGCATATGAACACAAAGCATGTATGAGTAACCCCATGTACACTATGTATAAATGAGAAGATTTAATAAAGGATTTCTCATTTGGACGTTGTTTGTGTAAAGATCGTGTTATGTCTCATGTAAGAAGAAACTCCTACTAGAAAATACCAGAATTCGACGATGGCAAGATCGTGGCCTTTTGGGACTGTGGTTTAACGTTCTGCGACATTGCTTCTTGTACTGGGCCAGTATTCCATGACTGTCAGGAGAAGGTTCCCCGCAGGATCACAGTGGGCCCAGGCCACTAATGCTCGATAGGACAGACAATATTGTCGCGGTCATACAGCCACGTTACGTATCTGAGTTAGGAACCTCGCTCGTGTGCAAGACAAACGAGTGTCTGTACAAACAGTGTGACGACGTCTGCAGCCCCAAGACTATGAACAAAGCAACCATTATTGCAGCTCCCCTTGACGCTGCAACAGAGACAAGCACACCTACAATGGTACGACGAACGAAAATACTGGACACCGGAGTGGCACCACAACGTGTTTTCAAACGAATCCCTATTCTGTGTACAACATCATGATGATCGTATATGAATGGAGGCATCGAAGAGGACGAACGTTGGCAGATTACATTAGTCATCGTCATACAGGTCCAGTACTTGTCGTGCTGGTATATGATGACAACGCTGCACAGTATGTAGTAGATTCCTTGTTCCAGAGGCGGGCGCTGTACGCTCCATAATGGATGTTATGCTAGAAATGCAGTGCGACGAAACAAAATCTATAAATCCATAGGTAAAATTCTTGTCCTCCCTGTACCTGCGCCTGGTATTTGGTGACATTGGATACATCCTGGTCACGTCGTTTTTGCATAGACAGTAATGTAGACAGTCGCCGTTACATTTCTGACACGTTAAGGCCCGTTCATGTGCCTTATCGTCGAGGCCTGTCTGAAATCATCTTTCAACAAGATAATGCATGCTTGCATATTGCTCTTGCTATCCTGACCATCTTCGATACAGAGGGTTTTCTATTGTTTCCCTGGCCAGTACGTTCTCTAGATCTCTCACCTACTAAGAATATACTGGCCAGGATTCATGGGTTGTCGAGAAGCTGCACCCATCATTCACTAACCTCTATGATTGAGGAACTTAGAATTTGAAGAATTAGTAGAATTTGAAGCCGAATGGAATAAAGTATCTGGCATCTGAGCTCAGTTCGACTCGATGCCCAGCCGGAATACAGCCGTTGTTGCTGCTAGAGGTGGCAGATTTGTGTACTGAATTCTGTATGCTGCGTACCCAAACATCCGGAAAATTTAAGCATGTCTTCCTTCTGTTTATATTGTACATTTGCAATAAATAACATTCTGCTGTTTATTTTCCTTCATGGTGCAGCAATTTTAACATCCAACTGTGTACGTTCTCAGAAATGCTGATTGCTTTCAGGGGGGGATCGATATGAAAGGTTTAGTAATATCACATTATGCCTGGCGTTTAGGTATACAATTATGCATATAAAATCAAAGATAAGATTATAACTTACTCTCATCTTGAAAGTGGTAAGATCCATGGAAACCTTTACTGTGGATAACATGGTTTGTCTTGAAGATGATTTCTGCATGCGGATTCATAAATAACATTGAACCAGGAATGTCTTTGCCACAATATCTGCCAACCAGGAATTTGCTCCCGATGATTGTGATAGTTGAAATGTCGATATAATCTGTTAGACAACTGCAAAGAAAAAAAAAGAATATTTTGTTTCAGAATGCAGCTTTTCATTATTTTAGTTCTACTGACAAAACAAATTCGGAAAGAAATCTGCTAGATAACCGTATATTTATAAATACACTTCACCAAGTTTCAGTGTTTATAAAATGGATATAAAAATAAATAAAGCATTAGTTGAATTCGAATTACTAATTTTCGTTGCGATTAAATTTGTCTTTTCTTTAGCGATTATGAATATCCTATTAGTTCATGCACATATCATCTTTTAGGCATTTCTCTTGCACATCTTGAACTCCATAGTTAAAGGAGGGACTGTAATAAAATAATGATTAACATCCTGAAGACTTCGCCTGTTATCACTTAGAATGGTTAACGGATGATTGGTAAGCTTTGAATGGTAAATTTGATGCTTTAATATTAAATGATGCTGAAGTGACTATATGTAATATATATGTAATGCTGCAGTCAATATATAATAAGATGCTGCAGCATGTTTATGTTTCTTTTCTGCACAGTATGCATTTACATAGGGCAGTATATACTGTATTTTACGTAGTGCATCTTTATTGTGTGTTTAATAGGTCTACTTTGCATTATAAAGTATCAAGTACGCGTTGCATTATGTTCAATTTGTCTTGCACCTCATAAATTTATAGTGCACTATATTTTAAAAACGTGACTTACATGCCGTTGATCGAAAACGTAGGGAAAATGCAGCACTGCCTTGGGATTTGATATTTGTTAATTTTATATGTTTGTACGTTTTGTTCGAAGCAAGTGTTTTGGAGGCTTAAGTTTTATGCAGAAAAAAAAAAAATTGTACCTTAAATCATTTCCTGCCTGTTTTCTTTGTACAATAGTTTATTGGAATTAATAAAGACAAATTCATTTCTGATAGGCCCACCAGCTTCCGAACGGATAAGACTGCTGATTTGGACTTTTATTCTAGTGGACATGATGACTGATGTACATTTTCGAGATTATCCTCAAGTGAAAAGTAAATACCAGCCAGTTTTCCTTAGAAAATCTGCCACCAGGAGATGCAGAATTATAGCCCTTAGAATAGTTAGCCGTAGTATGCTTTGCCATAACTATTATCTATTTCTAATAAAGTGTTTGCTTTATGTTAGCTCATACTAGGTTATTTTCCCAATATTTAAATGTAAAATTAAATAGCTATAAAATTTTAAAGCATAAATTCTCTGAAATACATTTACATGGCTATTTAAAAATATATTTACAATCAGTATTATTTAAACCAGTGAGTGAAATTCTGTAGTTTTATTTTTTTTTGTTGCAGCATAACATTTATATTAATATGAACGTATATTAATATGAACGGAGCTAATTTATTTTTTGTACATTTCATTTCCTATTATATTATTATTTATATATATATATATTTTGCATAAAACAGACCCCCAAAATTTTCATTTCTGAGCTTTTCATTTAAATCATGTAAAGAAAGTAACATGAATCTGTAAAAAAACTATTTATTTATATTATTTTTAAATTACCAAATGAATGTCGTAGCAAATTAAGGGTGTTCCTCCATCACCTGTCTTACGAACGTACGATGAAAACTGATAAACTGCGGTTTAAATGGACACTTATTTACAAAAATTGCAGCTATGTAAAAAATCGATTTAAATAACTTTTAATGTTATTAAATGCTTAATAAATTCTCCGAATATTTATGGAAAAACTCATTAGTTTCAGAAATCATTTGCAATGCTGTCAGTATCAATTCTTGCTCAATTAGTGTTTGACAAATTTCCGCACATAGGATATTTTATCAAGAATGCTAGTTTTTAACCAGATATAAGTATAATTTTACTGTTAGACGTAAAACCAAAAGATACTCTAAACAATAAATGAAATGCGGGAATGTTTTGCTGATGGCATAATTTCAGACAGCCGTTGTTTTAAGTTTTCAGTACAGGGAAGATGATCATGACATCATGCAAAACATATAATTATACCATATGCTTATGGTGGCGAATATTTCGGCTTCGCAGTCCAGTACTGCCAGGCAAAGATAATACAAACGAAAGAGGATTCTACAGAATTAAATCACGAAAGATTCAAGATCTATTGGAAAACTTCTTGATCGAAATTAACTATATTGATATCGTCAAACTGAAACGTGTATCAGAAAATATACTGGAACATACAGACATGGTATCTCGAATAGAAAGGTGGATATTTTAAGTTTTAGTTAAGTCTATTAGTTACCTTTCATTCAAATTCAATTTTAAAGCTCACTAGCTGAATCTCTCATTCGGCAAACCACACTGGAGGAAAAGCGTCAATCATAGAAGTTGTAATTTGAGAATTTTTTAAAGTACGGCATTTTCAAATCTTCATATCTTCATTTATCATAAATCAAATATTTAAAATGAAACATCATAAAATAGTTTTATGATATTTCATTTTAAATAGTCGATATATTCCCACATCAAGAAGCTATAGAAGTGTTCCGCAGTATTGTGGAAAAACAGCTTGAAAATTTGGGAAATGGATATGTATATGCAATATAAAGAAAATTCTGCGGTGACGTACAATATGATAATGGAGCAGGTGCATAAATATGAAGTTAAAGATGTATAAATAGGAACAGGTGTATACATATGAAGTATAAATATGAAGTCATGGCCGTTTGAACACTTCTTTATTCCTGACAAAACATCTTTGCAGTAAGCCCATAAAGCTAAATTGGAATAAGATTCGCGCTTGTTCTTCAACAATCATGTCTGTGCTTCTGATATATTTACAGCAATACAATTATAAGCAGAAGTGGAAGACTATATGTTAGATCAAAAGAAGCATGAGAAGAAAGCGAAGATTCCTGGATTAAGAATAATGGATCCTGGATCAAGAACAACAAAATTACGTTTCTCCTTTTTTTTTTTTTTTTTTTTTCTGTCGGTAGATTAAGGTTTTGGTTTTTCAAATTTAACGTTATTATTTGCTAGCACTTCAGTCTCATTTCTGCCGTTATGTAAAACAAGGACGAATTTTCAAATTATAGTGTTGTTAAAGATGTATTACATTCATGTGTTCTTACTGTTGTTAAAGATTTAATTATATCCTCCACTTTGTTTATTCGTTGTGCCCACAAGGTGCATTAACGTAAATCCCTGAGAAAGGACCAGCTAAGCTTGGCATCAGTCTCTCGCGCGGTTCTGCACGCTGGGCCGGTATTCCACAGGTCTGCGGTTCGATTCCCGGCAAAGGCTTTGTTAATTTTTCCTCTTTCCTCCTTTCAAATTACCTAATGTCACTACAGTGGCTCCCGAACTAAAAGGGTGTTGGATGATGATTCTCCTCACCCAGGATCTGGCCATTGGGTCCCCTAAATCTCCCCAGTCGCCCTTCAAAAGGGGGAGTATATAAGGTATTTTTCCCACCTTCTTGGCGTGGCTTCATGGTGTTGTGGTTCTGCACGCTGGACCGGTATTCCAGAGGTCCGTGGTTCGATTCCCGGCGAAGGCGACTGCTCATTTTTCATCTCTCTGGCTTTTCCAATTAACCTTATATCTCTGCAAATTAAATAAGGATACTAAAAAAAAATTCTAAATTAAAGTCAGTATTTTATCTTGCATATTTATCATCTTTTTCTTTCTGTCTCAAAACGTGTACATATATGAATATATATATATAATCCGCCACTTATTTAAATTCACTGATTAACAAACTTAGCCGCTTGTTGCGTTCAAATTTCCAGGAGCCAAGTCGAATATATACTAATAGAAAAACCTTGTTTATTAATCTAATCTCTACTGACTATATTACTCAAACTGGCAAAAAAGTCAGATTATTGAGTTCCGGAATAGATTGTTTGTGGCTGATAAAAGCTGTTTATAGTTTCCTCATTTATCTTTCATGTATGTAGGGCTTCAATAAAACCGGTTTAGCAGAAATTTCGGCCAGTTATTTAGAACCAAGACCGTCTATATATACCGTGCTCTTTGCTTATTAAACTCTCTGGTTAATTAACTAACCCACTTATTGCGTTCCATATTTCCAGTAACCAAAACGAATATTTACTAATCAATATAAAAACGCCGTTTATTAAACTCATGTCCATTATGATAAATCATATATCATGAGTGATCATAACTACATTACCTATTCAATACATCAGAGCTATGATGTTATTACCAAAGACAGATTAAAAAACAAAATATGACGGTCACTCCTTCCTGCATAAACACTTCCTCAATAATATCTAAAAACTTCAAGAAGATATTGATTCTACTGCAACTCCGAAGGGCATGAAGAGTACCACTGAAAAATTGAAATACCATTATGGACAGCAGTAAACAAGCATATAAAGAAGCTAAAACCATACCTCATGCAACTGGTGAAGCGCCCTCCCTGGCAGTCAATCATCAGAAAATTCAAGTACCCAGATGGCATTTTCAGTCATGTCAAGAGCCAGAAGAATGTGCAAAAAAATTTATCATGTTTAAAAGAGAACGAAAGAGCCATTTTAGATGGAAAAAGATTCCTCATGGAAATCCTTTTCCTCCAAAACAGTAAAAAAATTGCATGATGACAAGGCTACATTTATCAGAAGTATTGACAAGTAATGAACGAAAATGGTGCAAGGGTCTCTCAGGCACTGATGGAGCTCTAAATAGAGCGACACAAATAATTACCTAAATGATAACTATAAAGTTCTAGCACCTTTCAAGACATAAAAGGCCGTAAACATTAATGACTGTAAAGATTGAAAACATCAATTTTGTAACACCTAATATCACAAGTCCAAGTTCTGTCCAAAATTCATACGTAAAGGCACAGCTTGAAATTTTGTCTTTCGGAACTAGAACTGTTACATCATCATTGTAAATATCTGTAAAATTCTGTTTTCAGGATTCGTAAAATTTCACTGTCTACAGGTTTAAATTCCACACAATGTACGCGGAACTGCATCTGCAACTATTATCGTAATTCTACTAATACACAGAAATAATATTTTTGCTTTGACTTCTCTGACAGTAACATCAGAATAAGCCCACGGAATTCATTGTGGCAAGGAGTGCAAGACTGCGCCTGTGGTTGGCAGAGCCTTGAGCATCATACAGGTGACAGTACGACTTTGCCCAGTTCCGCCTCCAATTTTGATGGAGAGCATCTCGGGGGGGGACGGGTCCGAGCATTTTCTATCCGTCTTTCTCTCGCACCAACCCCTCGAGAGGATTTTCCGCTTGCCGCATATTTAGAGTGCCCCCATGTCCCACAGACATACATTTACAAACATCCATGCTTTCTACTAGTCTCGAATCTGGGCCCTTCGGAAAGGCAGTCAGCGACGCTAAACACTATATCGGTTGGGTGGCACAAACACATAAAACTCTAAGAACTATTGAACTGAAAGGTGGAGGTTAAAAAAGCTACTAACAGTTTTACGAACTTCAAAATACAATTCAAAGAGTGTTGACGTACAATGCGAAACAAATACGGATAGAGCAGATCTTTGTCAAAGATTAAAATTTCAACTTTTCATCAGACTTGTGCATTCAATCTATTACGAACCCGTGTTCTTAAGTTACGGATGATTAACTCTGTTCTTTTGATGTGTTTAATAAAAACATCTACATAAAATAGTTATTAAAATTACATAAAAAATTCTTTAGAAAATGGATTTCCAACCTTACCGTTAAAACAGCTTTACAACCTGCCTTGGACATCAGGGTATAAAAACCACATTTATCCTAAAACCCAAATAATTTATTTAATGAAAAAATATTTTATTTGTTTATGAAATTTATCAAAAAATTACCTATAAATATCAAAAATATTTTGAATGTTTTTAGCCCAAAGGGCGTCAGCCCAGAAAGGCTATTAATTGCGTTTTGGTATTTTGCGTTGAAAACTTTAAATGTCTGTTCACGTTTCAGACTGTTGCCACCAAATATTACAGTACATATATTTAATGAAAATAAATAATAAAGAATCAGCATATATGTATATATGTTCCTCGCACTGTGATAAAACGACGGTACCTAATGCCATTAAACTTTGAATAACGTACGTTTCCATCCGAATATGGGCATCTTGAAGCCTAAATTTGGAATTTGGAATTGTTTTATCGTTTATTTTATATTTTGTAAAACTTTAAAGAGTTTTTGATTAACGAACTCAACGATTTCAAAATGAGCAATGGCAACATTGTACGAAAAAGAAACGTTTCTATCTCCAGCGGGCGAGGAACTATGTATCGGAAATTCTAAACATAGGCTCATTTAAAAATTATTTTGCGATATTGCTGTTGAGCTGATTTTTGTGGTTTAAGTGCGAGGAACATGATATTTTATAAATAAAGGGGACACATAAAACGTTAAAAACGCCCCTTTGGGCGTAAAGTAAAACCTGAAAGCTTTCAGATTTTTTTTAGTTGAAATTCTAACGGATATCACGCGGATATTCAAGGCGAGAAATCCTGCTGCGAAATTTGTGAAGAAATTAAAACTAGTCGCGCTATCTCTTCTTAGCAAATTTCAGAAATACAAAAATAATCGCGGAATTTAAAGCGATGTATGAGTAGCGACGAATTCAGTTTCAACTACGGAATTTTTCACTTCGTCGAATGTTTTTATTGTGAAATATGTATCTTCTTCCAAAAGGTAAAAAAAAGGGAAAATTAAAAATTAAACCAATTAATAAAAGCGGAGATGATTTCGCGTAAATGGGATCTTACCGTACATACAGCTGGGAAATAATTGAAAAACAAGTAAAAATTCTTTATCAATAAAAAATAATGCATACAGTTTAGAACTAAAATAATTTAATGATTTCTCAGATTTACCACATTGAAAAATTATGATTTTGATTTGGATGCGTTTTCTAGTCCTTGAAGCCTTTTATTATATTTTTAGCGCTTTTGCCTAAATACTGCAATAAGTACTTCCACATTTTGAGGTGATTAGTCTGCAGGTTATTCTATTTAAATACAAACAGCTGCACATGACATAAATTATTTCCGTGCCTTTGTTTTAGATATAATATAAATATCCATGGATGGCGTAGATTATTTTTCTAGCTTTCATTTAAAGTGCGTCAAATTTATGCGACTTAGATTGTAGGTTATTTTTTAGTCTAAGAATGATGCTTTTGTGCATAATGAGGATTATTTCATCTTTGTTCCCGCAACGTAGAATGAACGATTACGTTTCACTGTAGGATGGAACGAGTGGGAATTTAAGTCTAATTACCAAGCTACTATATTTATGAGGAACGTACGTTAGGGATATCTGCATCAATAGTAGGTAAATTTTACGAAATAACAGATACCCAATCTTTTCAGTCTATTACAGCTTTGATTTATCGTGTGATTTGATGTGCTTCTTTTCTAGATCCTTTATTCTTCGTCATTTTTGTAAACAAAAAACATTTAATGAGTCTTCAAATGTGGCTGGCAACAAAGATCCACAGCATTGTTGAAATAAGCAGTCATTAATCTTTAAAAGACGGTGTTAACAGAAGTTACGGCTCATTTAAAACCTTATATTTTACTGGGAGGCTAAAATTACTAAAGTTTTGAAAATAATTTCACGTGTGTGGAATACTCGAAATTAGGTAAGCATGCTCTAAATCCAAATTTGCATTCTGAGCAGGGAGTTATAACATACATTACATTTTCCTCATCTTCGGTAGGAAACGTCTCTGCACATCTATTGACTTTTCCCCCAACTCTTTTTGCTGCAGACACATACTAAGGGAGATGCTTTTGTCGAAAATCAGCAGAAATTTATCCCCACAAACCCAGGTGAGTGAATTTATTGAATAACCATCGAGCATTTTCAGCTTCAGTTGTAAAGATATTAGTATTCTTCAGATCAATAAACTGTGCGTTTACCGAGTTTCGAACCATGGGTATTCTAATTGCTAATTGAACGTGCTACTACTTATATCACGAGAACGTTTATGGAGAAATGCGATGATAATTCCTTATATTCCACCCACCCCCTATTTGAAAGCATCACTGAGGAGAGGTACGAGACTCAGACGACCAAATTTAGGTGGTGCCAATCAACGTCCGCCACGTTTTATTTTAAGAACCACTGTAAATACATCAGTTTTTTTACAGCAAGAAACAAAAAAATTAACTTTGCATTTACCGAGGTTTGAGCGACGAGTCTCTCAATGCTACTTGGACGTGCTCACACTTACACCTTGGGAACACGTAAAGAGGTATGCCATAATTCCTTATATACATGTGTCATTTTCACCATCATATGAATAACGACAATCTTTTCTTCTTAATTCATTCCATCTGATGCTTCCTTTAAAGAACTTGTAGAGTCTTTAGGTTATTTTGAAGCAGGAGACGAGAAAAATGTGCAATGCCCTCGCCAGGATTCGAACCTGGATTTCTCGAACGCGAGCCGAGTGTGCTACCGTTACACCACGACGGCATGCAGAAAGGTGGGAGAAAATACCTTATATGGTCCCCCCTTTTAATGGGCGACTGGCAATTAGAGGACCTAATTGTCAAATCCTGGTGGTGAAGAATCATCATCCACCACCCATTTTTCTGTTCGAGCGTCGTTGTAGAGTCATTAGGTTATTTTGAAGCAGAAGGCGGGGAAAATGAGCAGTGCCTTTGCCGGGACTCGAACCTGGGGCTCTCGAATAAGCGCCGAGTTTGTTACCATTATACCACGAAGGCATGCTAGAAAGAGGCAGAAAATGCCTCATAAACTAAGCTGGATAAAACATGTTGTGGAGTATTGTATAGCCTTTAAGCAACACAAGATGATGCCTTGGATTAAGTTCTGCACAAATATCAAGCTGCTCTTCTATTCCAGATTTATCATCAGTTTTCCGTCTACTTTAAATTTCTATTTGGAGGAAAATCTATGAGCAAATTCACAGTAAAATGATTCATTATGCTAGACTTTGAACGATATTTAAGTTTCTAAGTGGTATCGTGTTTTCTTTCTTTGGTGTTTAAAGAAATTTCATGAAATAATTTGAAATTTTATCGTAGGGTTTCTTTCTGAATATCAAATTTGATGTCATGTTTCAAATAAAAAGGTCAGAATACAATTATCATGTCATTAGTTTTCAGTCTCCTTCTATCCTACGACATATTGTCCTTTATTTATTTTAATAATAAAGGATAAAAGTAAGATGCATGTCTAAATAATATCTAACAGCATGCAAGAATACTAAGTTCACGGTTAAACAGCTTCAGTCCAAATCTGCAGATTTACGAAAATGCAGAATATACGAGTATCTGCTCTATAATGAACGAAAGCTCATGAGAAAAAATTCTCATGCAAGCCTAACCTTGGGTTCAACGTCTTGGCCGCTAGCTGTTATTCAGTACAACTAAATGCAATGTTTCGAACTATGCCGGATTTGTTGTATTTTTTACATACTTGTAGAGAAAAATTTCAGCTTTAGATATTCACAAACAGAAAGAGTAAGAATATTAAAAAAAAATTGTTTTAACAACTATTTTTTTTTTCAATAGCAGATTGTGAACAATTACAAATGTAACCCAGTCCATTAAGCTATTATAAGGCCGGATGTGGTGGTCTGTTTATTATGGAGGCACCTAATAGGTGGGCCACGATCGCCTTTCCTATGAAGGGACAGACAGTTACAACCACGCCTTCTCCGGGATTCGAACCCAGGCCCTTCGGCATCGCAATCAGCTTCTCTGACCACCATACCGGCTGGGCGGCGTTTTAACAAATATAATTCTGCGAATTTAAAGTTCAAAAGTTTAAAAAATCGGAGATTATATATCAGAAGCTTCAATCTGGCAATAAGTTTTGGCTTCAGCTTTGCAAAAATCCTCTCTTTCATAATTTATAAAACAAATCTGATGTGGATACCACGTGACTTCATTGTATGGTCTATTAAGTTATACACATTTTTGCTGCATTTCATTTAAAATTATTTCCTCGAATTTCATTAGAGGTATATTTCTCATTCAATAATTCAATTCTCACTTCGCAGCAAGATAAAAATACATAAAAACTCAAAATATCTTCATATAAAAATTGTAAAATACAGAGAAACATAATACACCAAGTACAGTTAGAACAGATTAAAAAGAAGTTTTAGAATTGAAATTAGAGTTTCTACGCGAAAACAAGCTATTCGGCCAACGGGCAGAAGGACAGACATTTCGGTGCACAAAACCATAAGTTTACTTTTGGTTCCGCTGGAGCAAAAAAGCACTGAAATTGGTGCTTAAACTGACTTAATTCACTATTACCGGTTCAAACAACTTTAAAAACTTATTAGTACCACTTCAAACAACTTTTAAAACTTATTAGTACCACTTCAAATAACTTTCAAAAGGGAGATGCACAACTCCATGCTATAGTAGTCCCATATATAAAATTTCAGCTTTCTGAGGCAACTCGATTTTGAGTTATGCGAGATACATACAAACATACGTAAGTACAGAGGTGATGAAGAAAATCTCTTTTGAATCCATTTTATATCTTTTTAGAATATATTTTATAAAAAACAGTCCTTTATTCTGTCCATGCGTGCAGATGTCACACAGAAATATTGTTCAGATGGATAGGATAGCTGTGGAAATGGGTATTTTTGTTGAAATATGATACCTGAAATTTTTCGCGATTGCAATACTTTCTTTACTTCATACAAAGAAGTAAAAATGTCTTCTAAATAGTATCTCTTAGAATCTTTGAAAGAAAATCCTTTGCATTTCTAAAGATAGTGTCCCTATTAACAATTTTCACCTTCCAAATGGTAACGAGTGCTCTCAGTTTCCTGATACAGAACTCGAGAACTCATTATTTTCAAAATGCTGGACAGTGCGCTCGATAATTAGTATTGTTCAACAAGGAAAAATGTGTTCATTAATTAGCATCTCGTTAGTGAAATGGTTCCTTAGTCGAAAGAAGCTTATTTTTAACGTTACGGATCTTTAAAAGGCTTCGGAAAAATTTCCTAAATTGAATTCTTTCTACTGAATGCACATTTAGATTAAATGTACATGTTCAAGCTATGCAAAATTTCCTTTAAAATAAAATAAAAATTTAGGAATATTCTAAAATCTTCTATTTCGTTTAATGTAAAGTTTCCATACCTTAATGGAGTTGAATGTAAAATAACTCATGCGAATTCTCCTTTTCCGTTAAGATAGTTTGCTTAATGATGAAAGCTAGTCAGAAAGACAGAAACCTATTGTAACAGCTTTAAATAATATTAAAATCTTGTAGATTAAATAATTTAAATAGATGAACATTAAGGTATTTGTGAATGGCAATATTTGAAAACAGGACTCTCGCACGAAGAATGTAATTTATTTTTAAATGATAGAATATGTTTTCTCTTCTTGTTTGTATGTCGCCATATTTTTGAGTGTTAAATAAAAGTTATTGCTGTGTTCCATCGTTGGAGTTGCTTCATTTCGCCAAAGAAGTATTACAGTCTTAATTATTTTGGAGGCACCGACCAGATCGAATAATCGTGCGTATTTTTATTTTATTAGTTCATCACTGAACATAATATTAGTGATACCAGATTATTACTTCCTGTTCATAAAGAATTGCTTTATTTATTAGTTCATCACTGAAACATAATATTAGTGATACCAGATTACTACTTCCTGTTCATATAGAATTGCTTTATTTTATTAGTTCATCACTGAAACGCAATATTAGCGATACCAGATTATTATTTCCTGTTAATATTAAATTGTCTTATTTTATTACCGTATTTGATATTATATTTAATATTCATTTTAGTTGTGCAGACGGTAGATATTTATATTGCAGTATGTTATTATTCTTATTTTAATCACAATTAATGTGGTAGAGAGAATGAACTTCATATAATTTAAATATTTCATTTTTGAGCTATTTTGAGGAAATATAAGGAACACAGTGTTCGTTAATTCTAAACGTAGAAACAATGTCTTTCTTAGGAAGAGCTCGTAAGGAAGATTTGCAAAATCTCGCAGCTGAACTGGGAGTTCATGTGACTGCAGATTTGAAAATAGTTGATTTAAAGCAGAAAATTGTTGAAAGTAGAGATTATGATGAAGTCTTCGTCAAAGGAGTTTTAGACACAATAATAGAAGAACGGAAAGAGAGGGAGGAAAGAGAAGAACGGAAAGAGAGGGAGGAAAGAGAAGAACGTAGGAGACAGGAAGAAGCAGAAGAGCGGGGAAGGAACGAACAGTATGAATTAGAGAGATTAAGACTTGAAGCAGAGACAAAGTCTAAAAATACCGGACAGATCCGGCCGAAAACGGAGCTGCGTCACCTTATGCAGAAATTCGATGACAAGAAAGGAGATATCAGTCTATATTTGCTATTGTTTGAAAGGCAAGCAGAATGGGCTAAAATTGATAAAGAAGAATTTGTATCTCATTTACTAGGACTACTTCCTTACGAAGTAACCCAGTTAATAGCTAGAGAACCCTCCGATAAAGCTAAAGACTATGAACGCGTGAAAAATTTATTGTTAAGACGGTTTAAACTAAGCCCGGAAAAGTTTAGGCAGAAATTTATGAAAACATCAAAAAGTACCGAATCCACATGGGTGGATTTCAATTATGAAATAGAAAATTATTGCAAAGAATGGGTGACTGGTCTAGGAGTTAAGACTTTTGATCAGTTGCTAGATTTGATGGTGCTTCTTGACCAACTTAAACGTCGAGTTCCTCCTGAAATTCGAGATCATTTTCTTGATGAATGGGTAGAGATGATTTCATCGAAAAAATTAGCTGAAAAACTTGATGCCTATGAAAAACGTTTTCGGAAACTTTCAAAAGAGGCCTGTAGTGGATCGGCAGAAAGAAAGATACAATGCACTAAAAACTCAAGGTAAATTGAGTTCAGATAATAAAAATAAAACTGAAAAAAAATTGTCATCAGGATTTAATTCGCAAAGCTGGTTTCATAGACCTAGAAGTCCACGTCCAGATGATACATATGAAAAAACGAAAAACGCCACAATGCTATCAGTGTGGGTCCTATCAACATTTAAGACCCCAATGTCCAAAACTTAAGAATAGTACTGAATCTCCTGCTAATCTTAACAGAATTAGTTCAAAACCAGAGGATAAATTTCTATTACCTTATACTATTATGGGTTACGTAAATGGTCATAAAATTCCTATATTAAGGGATTCAGGTGCTAGTATTGATATAGTTTGTCGCAAATACATCACGCCGGAAATGCTGACAGGTGAAAATGTGTGGGTGCAACAGCCATTAGATTTGAATCCAACCTGTTTACCATTGGCTGAGATCGAACTAAATTGCGATCTTGGACGAGTAATAACTAAGGCTGCCATTATTAGAAATGAACTCGACAAAGGAAGGTATTTATTAGGCAATCGAACTTTTGCACTGTTGAATAAACAAGGAAAGGAACCTGATAGTTGTCCTCACCAGGTTAATGCTGTCTCTACTAG